GCCCTACTACTACAGTTAGTTTTAAGTAGAGATACAGCAATCTGACTTTTTAAGTTATGATGGAAAAACATGGGAATTATAAAGAACTGATTTACCAAAATACTTACATATATGCGCAAGAGTAGGCCTTAATCAGCATTTGTCTCAGTATCTTTAGATGTGGACAAATAATTATGTTTTTGTTTATTTTTGTTTTTCAAAGACAGAGAGAGAAAGCTCTGTTGCGTTGGGTTTTGAGTCCATTTGACATGGGTAGGCAAATGGGCTACTGAGCCGGGCAGACTGGAGGTCTCTCTGCAGGAGGAATCTGCTGCTGGTGCTTCTCCGGGATGACTGATGATGGGCATCAGCTTAGAGCTGGCAGAGAGAAAGGGACGCAGTGGCACAGAGAGTACTGGGCATGTCGGTAGTGATTACGTTCTTCTTCAGAAAGGGTCAGAGGTCAGACTGAGCGTGTTCCAGCAGCTCCCTGCACCAAACCCTCTATATTCCCAACACTGTACAATCATCTTTTTGTTGCTACTGGCCAATCCGGCAGCCTTACTCTCACACTGTCACTGCTTTTCAATAATTGACAATCGAATTAAATAAGCATTATGTCTGCTGTCTGCACTTGTGTGTGTGTGAGTCAAGATTTGGGAGTGCAAAGTCAGATTGCATATCATTTACACCACAGCATCAATCATGGCCAAAGGTCTCTGTTTTATAAGACATACAGTTGCAGTAAACATGTCTTCACATTGTGTAACAGTGAAGCAAATACAAATTATTATTAAAGTTGTGTTTGCTCCGAAAGAGCTGGTGTGAAATGTCATCGCAAGCTGATTTTATAGTGCAAGAGAAACTAAATTAAGACTTTGCTTCAAAGGGCTAATTAGCTTTTATTAAAACAGAAGTGTTATATGTGCTAGCATTGGATAAAAACAATAACTTTATACTAAAAATGTCTTCTTCTTTTTTTAATCCTCAGTGTCGTAGTCTCAAAAAGGTAAAAACAGATAAGGAAGTTTGACATTGGTCAACAGGGTACAATTCAAACTCGACCAATGTTTGTCCTTCAAAAGTGAAGCTTATGATATTGGTGATTCAAGTCCCACATGTTAGATTGTGCAAGTTAGCATGTACACGTTATCATTTTATCTATACCTTCATTTATGTAGCATTTAGTTTGACTGATTTCCAAGCAATTTGATAGAACTAATACAGCAAAGAAAGCACTTTTTCCGATTGACTGGATAGTTTCTATTATGTGTTGCAGCTTTATATGATTCCTAAGACCGCACTAAAACAATGGTTAACTACTTAAGCTGTTTCTTCATATTGAGTTAATTCACAAAGAATGGATTTGTTAGCCTCTAATGTCTAAAGCTGGCTACACACCAACCCGATTTTGGGAGTCAGAGGCCGTCAGAGGCAGTCAGGCATTCGCGGCGCCCTACTCAGGTTGGTGTGTCCCGCACCGTCGTCTCTTTACGGCACCTTTTCACACCTCCCGCATTCAACATGTTAGCCTCGTCTCAATACCCCTCCTCGACTCCTCTCTTCCCCTCCTCCGGGACTTGACCCGGAAATCGATCAAGACACGCCATTTTGAAGTACGTCCCAATAGCTGAAATGCACACGGAGGAGTCGAGGAGGGGTGAGGGAGGAGGGGTGCGGGAGGAGACGAAAGGGAGGATGAACGAGAGCAGACTACGCGGAAGTGTTTTCACTACTCGCGTATAAAAGCCCCGCCCCCACCTTCACAGCTGGTCGATTTCAACACAGGAAAACGGAGAACTGGAAGAATGAGTGGAAAAGCGTCACATAAATGTATAAGTGCTCACAGCTCCGTGGGAATTATTATGTGCAATTCATTTCTTAAGGTTATACTAACAATTTAAGTCATGTTTAATGATCTTGAACGTCACTAAAACATAGCTATTATGAAAGCTATTTCATAAATGGCTAGATCTTGATAATTGAAAATTATTTGTTTTGTTTTGTGTTAAGATATTCAGGAGTTAAATTATTTAAAATTCACAGTCCTGAATGTTGGTTTCTGGTGAATGTGGGGATCTACAGGACACACATTTTCAGAGTAAAGGCTTTCACATTATTATAATTATAATTTTATTGAAATGTACATTTTACACCAAAACGGAACACAAAAGCAGGACCAACCATCATACATTGAATTCCTTGACTAAAAAGAGAAAGATTCATCATTTAAATACATATTTAACAATAAATGGGCCGGTTCTAAAGGGTTATTCAGTTAAACCCAATGAGAGGGGATACAGCTGTGCACATGTCATCATTAACAGAAGTCGTTTAAGAGTGACGTTTGAGTGAACGAGGACATTGTAGTGCCGAGAGAAGGGAGACGGAGGCGGTGCATCGGAGGTGCAAATCTCACTTTATTGGGGAGCAGAAACTGACATGCTGTCGGGTCTAATAACTAATAACTATAGGCCCATCTCTAAATTGTCAGTTCTGGCTAAGGTTCTTGAACGCCTAGTGAGTGAACAGGTAAAGGTGTTTTTATGTACAAATGACATCCTGTCAAAACATCAGTCAGGCTTCAGAAAGCAACATAGCACCATCACTGCCACAATGAAAGTGGTGAATGACATTACAAGTATTTTAGATAATAAGCAGAGCTGTGCAGCTCTATTTATTGACCTTTCCAAAGCGTTTGATACCGTCGATCATCACATCTTAAAGCAAAGGCTACTCAGTATTGGCTTATCCAGCCATGCAGTGGGGTGGTTTGTGAACTACCTCTCTGAAAGGTCCCAATGTGTTCACTTTGATGGGCTGTCTTCTGAGTGGTTAAACATTACTAATGGTGTTCCTCAAGGTTCTGTTTTAGGTCCACTTTTATTCTCCATCTACATCAATAGTTGAGGTGAAAATGTGGATGAAGCTACTTTGCATTTTTATGCGGATGACACCGTGATGTACTGTGCAGGTCCCTCCATTAAGGAGGCTGTTGTTAAATTACAGGCTGTTTTTAACATTATTCAGACTCAGCTCTCTGAACTAAAGCTTCTTTTAAATGTTGAGAAAACCAAGGTAATGCTCTTTTGTAAAGCTAAAAAGACTCCAGAGACTGCTTTGGATATTGTGACTATGCAAGGACAAGTACTCCAAGTGGTTAGCTATTATAAATACCTTGGTATCTGGCTTGATGATTGTCTTACTTTTAAACTTCACGTCACTAATCTGCTTAAAAAGCTGAGGGTTAGACTAGGTTTCTTTTTCAGAAACAAGTCCTGTTTCTCTTTTGAAGCCAGGAAAAGGCTAGTCACTGTGACCTTTTTACCTGTGCTAGACTATGGTGATTTGATCTACATGAATGCACCTGCCCATTGCCTGGAAAGGTTAGATGCCGCCTATCACAGTGCTCTGAGATTTGTTACTAACTGTAAAGCACTTACTCATCACTGTACCCTGTATGCCAAGGCAGGTCTGCCTTCACTTACTGGTCGGAGGCTCAGTCATTGGTACATGTTCATCTATAAAGCCATGCTGGGTAAACTACCTTCTTATATCTGCTCCTTGATCTCACGGAGAGTGGCAAGTAGCTATTGCCTGAGATCCCAGGATGTGTTTTTATTACATGTGCCAAGTGCTAGGACTGTTTTAGGTGCTAAAGCTTTTATGTGCGCTGCTCCTCTAGCTTAGAACACTATGCAAAAAACATTGAAACTCAGCATTTTGATTCCCTTGCATCATTTTAAAGCACGACTGGATGAAATATTATTGGATACCTGTAAATGTAAATAGATGCTAATGTATACCCCTGTAATTATGTTGTGATGTCCTTTTTGTTTTCTGTTTGTTTTTATACAGTATGTGTAACTCAATGTACCGCAGGTCTCCCTTGTAAAAGAGATCGTTGATCTCAATGGGATTTTTAACCTGGATAAATAAAGGCTACAAACAAACAATGCTGTCGGGTCGCAGCCGCAGAAGAGAAGAGAAAGTGTAAGGGACAACACACAGTAGGTACCCCGGAGGTACCGTCAACATATCTGTCCGTGCGGAAACAATACCCCCAACCTGTAGTTCCTGGATTGAATTATGTAACCCCAGTGTATGAATCAGTGATCACTACAACATCCCAATTAATACCTGAGGACTCCTCTGTCCTCGCGTCACCTCCTCGTGTCTCTCGCTCGCATCTTACGGAGGCGGAGCTAAGACGCAAGGAAGGGACGCGAGTGAGGGAAAGGAGGAGTCGAGGAGGGGTATTGAGACGAGGCTACTGAATCGGCCGCGGGAGGTCAGAGAAAGTCGGCCCAAGCAATCACTCTGATTGGCTGTTCACACTACCGCTGCCTGCTGGTAAGGACAGTTATTGCCACTCGTCAACTGAAGTATTTGCGGTCTGTTCGTAGGCGGGCGGCGTAGCGGGCGGCGTAGCCGACGCAGGCGACGTAGCTGACGTAAAAGTCGGGACGCCTTCAGTACGCGTTCTTTGGTCTCAGGTGGGTGTGTAGCGGCCTTAAGTACCATGATTTACACATCACTTACGCAACCTCTAGATGCCTCCTCTACAGGTATGATTCAAATAAGACATTATGTTTATGATATTAGAGTTTGAACTTGTTCATCAGGGGAGGTGAAATGTGTCTTTTCTGCATCTGATTGCATTTATCCGTGTGACAAAGTATAAGTTTCGTCTTTGCACTAAGAGCACAGCAGGCCGAACAATTAGACTGAGAGCTCAAGTGCTGACCAACAAGGTTTTCTTCTTGTGTTTCCTTGGCAGCTCAGTTAGGGTTGCTTTTAACCTTTGTGGATACTTTAAGAATTACACAGCTTATTTTTGTCCTATTTGTGCAGGTTTAGCAGCTATGCAATGTTTTTGTGTTTTCGCCTATACATTTCTCGTTCGATCACAAGAACACTCTCATTGGTTCTCAAAATGAGAGTCACATCGCTATAACTATCATCACATTATTCTGAACAAACTCTAGGATTCTTGTAGGTAGGTTTGAAGAAAGACTCACCATCCTCCCGAGACTTTTGGATAAAAGCGTCCACTCCACTTTCTCCATAGTTTCCCTCGGAGGCCACAGTGGAGACGTAGTTCCAGCGCATGGCTTTCACGATGTCCACCATGGCCTGGGCCTGGTACGTGTCCGGGGGCACCACACGGGAGAAGAAGTCGTAGCGGGTGTTGTCACTTAGCTCTGGAGCTGTGGAGGCGTAGCTCACCTGAGGGATCTGCAGGAGAAGAAGGTGATGTGGTTACACACTGGGAATTAAAAATAAACGTTGTGTTAATGATTACATGTTCAGAAGGATAGTACCTTGCTGTTTCATGTACATAAAATTATGATAATATAACACATACATGTAACATCTGCTGAAATCTGAGCTGCTCCATGGTTGTTAATTAGCCTCGATGGTTAGCACATTGTTGCTTTAAATAGTCCTGATGATCACAGGCTGAGCAGCAGCTGAAGTATACTTTCCACACCAGTCAGACAACACTAATCTGCTCAGGATTTCACACTTGTTTCAAACATAATGTGAGAGGTATTTGTTGTTGAAAACATAAAAGCACAAGATGATCTGCCTCCGGAGCTGCAATAATACCCTGTGTTCTTGTCAGAAATCACAAAGACGTTATTGTTTAATAGGAAAGTCTAGAAACCATAAATATCAAATAACCTTAGTGTGTTACTTTAGTAGGTACTTTGAATACAAAGGGAAACCGAAAAGGTCAAATGTTGCAGAATAGGTTGGAAATAATAGAAGTTAAGCTTATTGAACCTGCCTTCAGTTCAATAAATAAATGTCTTTACTTGCTGTTATCAAATGATAAATAAATAAGATTTATAAGTACAGTCCATTTATCAAAGGTTTTACCGTTCTTAGTTTGACTATAAAAGTATTTTAGGAGCTGCCTCCAGCAAGAGCTTCTAGTTCGTATGTAATCTCAACTTTTGCTTTCTCAAGATAATTGATTTATAGATTTTAAAGCTTGTAAGATGTTCTTATGGCTTCTGTGCTGCTCAGTTTGGAAGTTGACTGAGCAGGTTTTATCCGTGTTTCATGGTTAAACTTCAAATACAGACACACTTGTTATTTTTTTGTCCTGATTCTCCAGGGTTGATGAATTCAGGCCGTAGACGTAGAAGTCAGAGTCGCGGCTGCTTTAAACCAGAATAGAGTTTGACGGAGTATGAGTCAGGGGGAGAACATCTTGTAATGTGCGTGACCCAGCGCAGTATTAGAGTGGAATACTTGTCCTGAAGCCACTTCTGCTTTGTAGGACTTATTAAACCAAGAAATCATGTATCTTTTTTACAATAGAGGACAAAAAAGAAAGAAAAATAACATAATGTTAGCAAATGTTAGCAAACTCTTCCAAAGATATACAGATCCAACTCTTATTATGCTATCAAAGATAAATATGGAGGCCAGGGTGGTTGACTTTGCCTGTTCATTTCATGACTCACACTTGAATGAAATGGTGCCCATCCTTTTCAAATACTGATTGTCATGGCAGCTCAGCGGTGCTCTGGGAATTTGGGAAAATGTTGTCACCTTTGAGCATCCCTGCTGAGATGGAGGGATGTGCGGACAGATAGATAAGCTTAATATGGTACTGAAAAACAGTTAAAAAACCTACAGCATGAATTTGTTACAGATAAGAATATGTATCCCCATGATGCTGCTGCTTTTTTGTATATCTTAATTAAAAGATAAACCCTTTATGTTTTGAGGAAAAAAGCCATCATACATCCAACAATGCTACATAAATGTAAACCACAGTCTTCCTTTAGGATAAGATAAGATGGAGCTTTATTGATCCCTGTAGGGAAATGCTGGTGTTATAGCAGCAATAGAATAAGACAGAAACACAGATGGAACACATGGGGAAACAAGAATACAAATGAAATAAAAACACAAATAAACATGGAGTTATAGTATGAGTAGAAAAATCTAAAATGACATGAGATAAACAGGTGACTGTACATATATACAGTTATGTATAAAGGTTAAATATATCTATCCATTTAGATGTGCAGGTAGCATGAGTACCACTATGAACTGCACTAACTGCAGACAGACCGCTGTGGCAGTGATACCCCCTCCCCCTCACCCCACACAGTGGAGGCCTTTGATGTGGTCAGCTGTAGCTCTGCACTGATCCTGATACTACTGCGTTCCCCCCTCCTCGCTGCAGCCTGTTAGAAGCACAGCTGTTAGTTCTGTACTCCTGACCTCCAGCTTCTAACAGCTCATGTGAATCCACACACACTTTCTTCTTGCAACAAGGATCCTCTGGGTAAAGCATGCACAGGGGGCAGAGAGTGCATAAGTTCACATATATGAATGTAAAATATTTCCCTTTGTGTCGTTTCATCGTAATATGTAAGCGTTATGCTTCAGTGCTCGCTCGGATTTATAGGTAGTGACTTGTGATGCAGCCAACATGCAAGTCAAAAGCAGCCTTATTAATTCAATTCCTTTTCAAAGAAGAGGAAAGGCATGGGGAGGGGTATCTGTGTGGACCATGTGCATGTCAGCCTCCCGGACTGATGGCTCTCAGTTGTCCCTGGCCATCACACCGCACCGTGTCCATGAACATTTCTGCGTCACTTGTCTTATTTTCAGCTATAATTGCTTGTGCAAAATTGCTGTGCCTCATGAACTGTGAACACTGAATGACATCCTTGTTGGAGGCTGACACGCTTCATGCACGTGTTCCTCCTCGAGACCCTCCGGGAGGTCTTTGAGTCCTGACTGGCGTCATTCAACCGACTTGTTGATTTAACAGCTTGTGGTAACAATGGTGGTACACCTGAGCCTCAAGTTTGCTCACTTTATATCTGCATCGACTGGAGCCAAAACCTTTCTGCCTTTTACAGGTGTACCTCTCCCTTTTGGTAGCATAAAAAGTGTGACATTTATTTTTTTATTTTTTCTCACTGCTTTGACGCCATGAGGCGGTATCTAGCGAGATGAAACTGTTATGCAAAGGTGTTTGGAAGGTGTTAATAATGTCTCAATTTAGATTAATTTAATGTTCCAGCACACAGCCGCAATGTGAAAAAAACATCCTTTGAGTCATTTACACCTTCAATTCACCCTTCAACTTTGAGTTATATTTGTAAATGTTGCTAAATAAGCACAGTATGTTCTTCGGAATAATGTACAAGGTGATAGTGCAGGTCTATAAAGATCTCAAGTATTTTTTCATGGCATCCATCAGCATTATTCAAAGTTTCCTCTTGAAAAAAGACAACAAAGATAACATATCATTAAGAATTGCTGCTGACATGCTTGACTTCACCTGCTGGCTGGTCCTGCCTCAGTTATCGCTGTGTACTACAAAAGATGTTCAAAATATTTTCAAAAGGGCTTACAGAAGAACAGGTCGTTAAAAAAACCTATAGTGCAATGGTTTGAAGAATGTTCAAATAGAAATGAGCGTGGTTATAGGAATTTGGATGTAATTGTTTGTTGCAATACAGTCATGCAATACACACAACATATCTAAGTAATGTTGTTTCCCTGATCCGAAATATCTCTCTTGTTTTTAAATGTTCTGCCGTCATGTCTTCTGGTTCTGTGGTGACGTGTCTAGTCCCTTATCTGCCAAATAAGTGGGTGCCGCAGTGAAGCCGCTCTGTGTTGTATTTCTTACCTGAGGGATTTTCACTGCTGTAACAATCACACAATTTCAGTATTCTGTCAAGAACCGGGACAGGCAGAGCTTATCGTGTTTGTGTTGGCGAGGTTTCTTGCTCACTGGACTACAGCGATAGTCCTGAACAGTATGCTTCCTCTAATAGAAAACAGTCTCTTCTTAGCGTTAAGTCAAGAAATTCAATTCCTCAGCAAAGTCCCCCTCTGATCCTCTCATGGAGAATCAAAAGAAACAGGGATTTGGTGGCAAAATAACGATGTAATGTGTGATGAAAAGAGAATATGCCATATGCGAACGAGGAGAGAATATTTTGGCAGAGGTTTGACTTATAAAAACTGCATTGTGCCGTTAAATGTTGCATGGCTCTATACTCACTGCCAGACTGTGTGGTAAAAATCTTAGTAGTTTGTTGGAAAATGTTTGTGGCTCCAGTTTAGTGAAGCTGTTTGCACCAGCAATCGTTTCAGGCTGCACTTCCTGTACTCGGAGGTGAGCTCTCTGTGACCCCATCACTTCACAATGTTCCACCCCCCTACACAAGTTTACAGAAGCACTTTAATCTGCACCCCAACACTATCCAATTAATTGCTAATGGGCTTGGAAAATAATGCTTAATTACTGTGATGTGAGTCTCAAGCAGATTTTTGATGCAGTTTTAATGTTTAAATCACTTGCTTTAAATAACTGTGCCTTTTTAAAAATGCAATGAGCTCATTTGGCTCTGCATCACTGCAGAAGTAATGATGCTCATTAGAACCATACAGAAATATTGTACATTGTACTGTTTGCTGGGGAAGAAAAGCATTTATCAGGCTCTGGAAATGTTCGAGTCAATTCTGACAGTATATGTTTCCTCTATGAAAACAGAAAGAAAAAGATTTGCATGAACTAACTAATGTGTTGTTGACAGTTACGCAGGCCTGCTGTTACTCTGTGTGTGGGGCTTTGGTATTTCATCCAAAATTATTATGAGCTAAAACAATTGAGACATAAAACTCCAGAGCTGTGGTGTGTGATGTTTTCAGCACATTATTATATATATGTAGCCATCACATACATATTTTAGACCCTATTAAAGGTGGGGTAGGTAATTTCGGAGAAACCAGCTCGAGTGCGTAGAATTTGAAAATACACAACCGGAGAAAATCTGCCACTTCCTTACAGAGCCCCTCCTCCAACACACACGAATGCGCACATGACCAATGAGGGCACGAGATAAGTTTGTGCACAGATGGAAGGCTGACAGGCAGGTAGGCCTTCCAGTTATTTTAGCCGGGCCGGCTAAAATGATTGGTCGTGCTTTTTACAGTATTACGGCTTCCACAGATGACATTTTTTTATGGATTTTTTGTCAAAGCACTTAAGATATTCATTGCTATCGGGATGGTAAGAGCATTCCATGGAATATAACAAAAAGTGTATCTCGAGCCGGTTTCTCAAACTTACCTACCCCACCTCAGCACCGCTCCCCCTCCCTCCCGCTGAAATTATGAATGAAAAGCATATAGTAATCATAGATAACACGGCAGGGTCCGTGACAGTTTGTTTTCATCTGATGTCA